CCGTCACAAGGGTCGCACGACCCGGCCGAATAGTGCAGTTTAGCGTCCTGAGTCTTTCCACATTTTAGGGGGTGGACGCATCTGCGCTTTTTCGCGATGTTATTTGCGGGTTTCACGCGTTTCGCGTTACCGTTTTCGTTTCTTTTTTTGTGCATTTCCGTACCGAGAGTTATAGAAACTGGCGACCCCCACGATCTTGGAAGATTGACGCCACCTCTCTGGACCGTGAAGAGAGAAGAAGGAAGACGGCCAAGACTGGAAGTTGAGTAACGATCGCTGCTGACGAATTTGCCGGAGCGCACGACACCCTGTCCCCCGGATTGCACGCAGGTGATATCGTTCATTATTTCGCCCTTTATGCTATCGCAAGACACCTTTTATCGCATCATCTTCCAGGCACAAGGCGGAACGAGGATTGGAATGGCAGGATAGGGGTGGCCACTCTATGCTCCAAGGACGGCGAGAGCCCCGAGAAGGCCCCTCGAGGCCACGAGACGGCCCGAAAAAATCCTGCGGTCCCTCAAATTTCGCGCGCCAGGACATGCGACACGAGCATGACGCGACTCCCGCGATTAGCAGAGCCGCGGAATCACGTGCTAATAAGGTACGATAAGGCCCCCTCGCGGGGATAACGAGCCCTGCGTGCCCTCGGGAGGATCAGCGCCCAACACTTGTGCTGTGGCCCAGATAGCGAGCGGACTTTGGAAGGACTCAGGCGGAAAGAACGACGAGCCAATCGAGGAAATTATGATGAACCACTGCTGAAGGTCACGATGAGACGAACGTTGTTAATTATAAAGTCGCTAGTTGCCGAATCCGGGAGGCCTAATCTTGGCGCAATCTGATCGGGTATATTGTAGTGAAGCACGTGACATTGCCATGCATGAGATTTCCGTGGAATTCGAGTAATTGTGTCGCCTCCCGGGACGATCACTCATAATCAGGGAAATTCTATTGCATCCGCCAAGGCCATAGCCTCGTCATTTATCGTAAGCTTTTATCGCATGTCACATTCTTGTATCGTATCATGTCGAAGTTCCGTGCTGTAATATTGGCGTGTATGTGGTCGTTTCGGAATCTTGTAAGATCTGCATGTCTCTTAGAGTATCGGCACTCTGTATCATAGTAATTAATGATAATGTGTTATAGTAATTAATAGTTGCGCATATTCTATCATATCGAGATAGCGTAGCGTCAAATTTATGTGTACAGGGTTGGCCATATTCGACGGAAAGATGTGGCAACACTGTAACTTTTGACAGAGATGTTAGATCGAGTAACGACGTAGCGCGTTTGAAGCGTCAGTCGAAGGAAATTTGTGCCATGGAACAGTACACGCCACGCGAACGCTCTCAGATTGTTGAAATTTACATTCAACAAAACAAGTCAATTGTTAAAACTCAACGTGCATGGAGAAAAATAAATAAAGTGAAAAGTGCGCCTTCCGCGAACACATTGTATCGTTTGTATGAAAGATTTTCAACTGGTGAGGCACTCACTAATCCCAAGCGTCCAAATAAAGTGCGACCAAGGCGATCGGATGATAATATCGCACTCGTACAGGCCAGTGTTCAGAGGTCTCCAACAACATCTCAAACACGTCGATCTGAGCAGTTGGGCATAAAACGAACCACTTTACGTCGCATATTGCATCATGATTTGCATTTGTTCCCATACAAAGTTCAAGTGACGCAAAAACTGTTACCTGTCGATAAGCCACGTCGATTGGAATGGACCCAACGTGTAATCGAAATGGCTGAAACTGACGAAAATTTTTGGCAAAAAATCATCATGAGCGATGAAGCTCATTTCACGTTAACCGGAACCGTAAACAAACAAAATTTTCGGTTCTATGGTACTGAAAATCCTCAAATCATTCACGAGGTACCTCTTTATGCCTAGAAAGTGACTGTTTGGTGCGGGATTTGTGCTGATATGATCATTGGCCCGTTCTTTTTCGAAGATGAAGCTGGCGAAACGGTTATCGTCAATCAGGAGCGTTATCGTGATATGATAAGTGATTTTTTGATGCCAATTGTTCATGATAATGGTATGGAGCACTTCTGGTTTCAACAAGATGGCGCTCCACCACACACAGCTCGAGCCACTATCAATTTTTTGAAACAATTGTTCCCTGGACGTTTGATGTCAAAAAATGGTGATTTTGAATGGCCACCGCGTTCACCAGATTTAACGGCTCCAGACTTCTTTCTGTGGGGCTATTTGAAATCAAAGGTTTATGTCAACAAGCCAAGGACCCTAGACGAACTTAAGACCAACATCCGACAGGAAATAGCCGCCATATCGGCCGAAACATTGTTCAAAACGATGGAAAACGCTGCAAAACGGGCACTACTCGCCATGCAGGCTCAAGGCGATTATTTAAAGATATCATATTCAACAAATAATGTACACAAATCTCCTTGAACCATATTAAATGGCTTTTACAATGAAAAGCAAAAAATGTGTTTTTTTTCCCATGATTAAAACAAAAAAACATCTTTCCGTCGAATATGGCCAACCCTGTATTCTGTCCTTCTCTAACCTTCGGTCGAGCGTTGCGAACCCCCGCGAGAGCGCACGAGGTCACGTCGTGTTTACATTACAGCCCTTATCAAATTCTATCGCCGGGATGAAGCGGCGAATTATTGTTCGCATAATTCGCGAAAGTATCCTTGCGTGGCGTGAGCTCGTGCCGCAGAATTCTAACGAAATTGGTACGCACCGCGTAAAACATTTTGGGGCCTGTGCGAAGCAGCTATCGCGTCTGATCAGATCTTATCGCCACGATCTTGCCGGGAGATGTAAACGAAAGTTGGAGACTTATTAAATACACTTGTTATTCTTGCTATTATTAATTCTTATGTGCTTTATTGTCGTCACTATTCGCTTCTCCAAACGATCTTCTATGCTCGACCACGAACCGTCCCCTCTGCCATTTCCGAGGCTGAGCTACCGGTTGAGAGCTCGTCGACGTTCAGCTCGTTAGAATTTTGCATAGAGAAAGTATCGCGTAATTTCGAGAAAGAGTAGCACGCTCACTCGTGCCTGGCGCCCAACTATTGTTTTGCAATTGTGTGTTGTTCTTAAGAATGGCTGCATGAAGACGTAATCTTATCGCGTTTTATTTAAAGTCACCCGTAACCCGATTGTATAAGAAAATCGTAGCTGTGAATGCACGATGAAGTTGCGCCACACTCGTGAGTGCGGTTGCAATATATATAGTATATATTGATTAATAACATGTTGTCGAACAGTGTGAAGACGTAAAAATAAATCATGCATTCTTATGCACGATGAGCAAACGTCACGATCTGAAGAATGGTTTGAAGTATATAAAAGTATATGACGCACATCTTATTTGTTTCATCCAAAGTATTGGTTTCAGCTCGCGTTATCGAACGATTGTTCTTGTTACTTCAGTATGACTAACAATGTCACTGTCGCTTTCATAACATGAGTCCGCAATACCATAATCTGATTCTGATTCTTTTTCAATTATATATTCATCTTCTGAATCTTCTAAATCAATTTCTAATTCTTTTTGAGCTTCATATTCTGCTTCTATTTTTACTACATCTTCGTATTCCATCTTGAATAAAACTCGAAGAAAAAAATTAGAGATATGTAAATTCCACATTTTTGGCAAAATGGGATATTGATGATGGATGCATTATTTTTATGGAAGGAGGGGAGGGGAGAACAGACATACTTTATTGTTGTTGGCGTCAATCTCTTAGATAAAAAAAGTTCGATATCATTAAAGTGCATTCTTAGTACATTAAAGTACATGTGTCGTTGTGCATCAGGCTTAATGACAATTACATTAAAAATTAACTTGCATATTTTTTAAGTAAAATTCTAGATTGAATACATTGCTTAAAACTCATTTTTGAAAAAAGATAATGAGAACAGAGAGACTTTATTGTCGTTGAAGCCGATCCCATTACATGAAAAGATTTTATATGGTCAAAGTGCATTGTTAGTACATGTATCATTGCATTTATTTTAATGTAGGTTTTAACGGCAGTTACATTGAAAAAATTAACTCTCATATTTCCAAAGTTAAGTAAAATTCTAAATTGGATACACTGAAAAAAAGTGGAAGAGAAAACATGTATAAAGAGAACTCTAATGCATCAGTCTCTTAGCTTCCACTGCAATCACCACACTTTAATCGAGAATTATGAGTTTCCACTATTCTGTACAAAATGAGTACAAATAAACAATATTGTTCGCATTTACTGCGATGATGCATTTACTTCGTGATAGAGAATTTGGATTTCGGAACAACGAAAGCTTACTCGCAACGATACATGAGGTGCCAAACATGGGAGAGGGCAGATACTCGTATGTGAAGATATCAATGCGTGTAATTCAAATTATAATGATTGTGTAAATTCAAATCTTCATATGTGTTATTGTACGATTCATGGTATTAGCGATGAAAGGTACTGAAGCTCTATCACATATGAACATAGAACTGAAGAATATATATTACTTTTGTGTTATAAAATATGATCTTTCTTTTGTTGATAATAATGATGTTTATATTGAAGTATTCAGCTGACAAATACGAATTGGAAATAACTTTTGATGCTAAAATAATTTATTTTAATAATAAATTGAATATTCCGCTGAAAAATGTGAAATAGGGAGCACTTATTAAAGATACATATGATGATATTACTGATTCAGTCGGTCTGCTCACTTCAAATGCTCTGATATCTATGGAATGTGAAACTTTCGAATATTGATTGAGGGATTTAGTATTTAAAAGAGACATGGCCATATTATTATATCAGTCGCTCAGTGGACACCGGTGAAGCTCGTACAATGTAGAGCAGATTCTCATTACAGTCGTTACCACTTTCTTCAAAAATGCAAGAAAATGTAAACTATTACGTTCTGATTCAGCAAAAAGAATCACGCAATTAAATATTACAATTTTATACTCTTTTAATTTTTTATATATTTTCTTTCTACATCTCGCTTACTTATATTCGTCTTTTTTATTATAGCACATTTTCTCGCTATATTATATCTTAAGAAGAAAATACACATTAACACCTACAGCTTGCAAATATTTGGATATTGGAATAGTCGTGGAATCTATGTCCCACGTGGAAATCGCGATCGTCGAGGTAACCGCATCATTCTGCCATATGCTACGTGGACGGTATTCATCAATAAAGGAATGGATATCGAGCGATTGGTGCAGTCGAATACTCCATCGTCATAGCGATTCAAGATTTTGTGATTGAATTTATCAAAATACACAATGTGCACAATGTAAAATTATCATTAAGTGTTGTATATGAAACCATCGATTATATTATACTTTTTATGCTTGAACCTGAACGATGCGTTGAATACGTGTCCGATCTATGTCATTGTACGAATAATATAATATAAGCGATAAATTCAAATATTTTATGACTTATTTACGTCAAAATTGTATTATAAATAAATTTGATGCGGTAAATATTTTGAGCAAGATTTATGATAGAAATTCTTATGATATGCCATGCATTATATGAAAATTGAGAATTATACAATAAATAAATAAATATTAAAATTATATTACTCTTTGTTTAAAATTATTCAATCCTTTGTCTCTCAATCATTTCTTCTTCATACCACCATACTGAATTACTTGATAAGAAAGCATGCTTGACCATTTGTATTACAAAACATATTATCAGTTGCTAAATTAAAATTATTGCTGAGTTATATTATTTAAAAAATCGTAAAAACAAATATCTATTTAATAAAATCGTGTGTGAAAGAAGAAAAAAGAACGTGGAGAGAGAGTGCGAATACTAAGATAAATGCACAATCGCAACGGGCGGGAGGACAATAGGTTAAAGAGAGAACATAACTGGTGAGAGAGAGAAGAAAAACTTTTCCCTCTACCGCGAATCCCGATGACCCGCTTCCCTCTTCCCAACTGTGAGATACTTCTTCCTCCCTGACTCCTTCACACACGACGCACGCACGCATGCACGCACACCTACACATCACATACGTATACACATTAACACACACACACATAGTGAGTTAAAGTCCCTATTTTTATCCTACTTACACTTTATTGCTAATCGGAAGCAGGTGTTTAAAATTCACAATTTAAAATTAATTAAATTAAATTAAATTAAGTTCCTGTTTATAAATATTGCAAGAACTATATATTGTAAAATTACGTTCTATATAAAAGTAAACGCATATTTAAATTATATATATGGATGTATGACATTATTCATTCCTTTCTTATTATCGCAGCACTATCATATTCCGCGGGCCACCAATATCTTCGCGTTCAACAGACGATTTGCAACAGACGATCATGACAGTATGAAGCGTCCTCTCTATTTAAATCATTAAAAAACGTATGATAAAATATTTTTGCGTGCGAGAAGAAGATATAACGGGAATGACAACGCGGCGGGAAAGATGACGAAACATAAAGCCAGGCACATACAAAAACGTAAGGCCGTAAGACGTAATCAGTAAGCGAACCCAATCACGGTAGAGACCGTAAGGCCAATAGCGAATCCAATCTTCTACGATTTCTTTACTGCTTACGTTTTTTTTTTACGACCCTACGTTTTTGTGTGTGCCATAGGCTTCAGAGGAAGAGAGATAGTAAGTATATGCGGTAAATGTATGCAAGCCTTTGTTACCGATGCATTTTTGAGGAGGGCGGCGAGCATCGGTGACAGCGAATAACGAAAAAAATTCGGAACGAATAGTGGAATGTCATTACGCGTATCATATTTACGTAATCCATTGTCCTATGTTTATATAAACAGCGATGCCGCTGACCGGGGACCTTCTCCCTTTCTAAGGGCGCTGCCCTTAGAACCGCCCTAATATCCCTACTCTTCATAAAAGATCAGTCC